CTTATGACAACTACAATGAATAATATTTACTATGCATAGATTGTACATGTAAAAATATCTTAAGAAAAATTCCTTTAAATGAGATTGCTAGGCAGAAAGGTTAGTACATTTGTAATTTTTACAGATGCTGCCAAATTGTTCTTTGTTGATGTTGTACCAATTAAAAATTTGTCAATACACAAAAATGCCTACTTCTTCATAACTTTGCCAACATGATATATTAATGAACACTTTTGCTTTCCCAGGATAATGAGAAAAATATCTCAAATAATATCTTTTTTTTTCAGCTTTAATTGAGTTTATTGGTACATTTTAGGGATACAGTTACAGTTACATTCATTGTTGGGATCTTGCACCTCTACATGACAAGTCTTGCTTCTCATTTTTTCCCCTTGTCCCTGCCCTCCCTTCACCCCCTCCTCCCCTCCCCATCTACAAACACTTTATTTCCATCTTTTCATTATCTCATATTTTTTTCTTTTCCCTTTTTACCCTTCCCCTACCCATCGCACCTTCCCTACACCTTTAGCTCCTTTCTTCCCATTTCTAAATGTCAGTAATCTTATGAGAATCTTATGTGTTATTACAGTTTATTCACACCAGAGAAACTATTCGGTATTTACACGTGTGCCTTATTTATTTCACTTAGGAGTATATCTTCAATATGTATCCATTTTCCTATGAATGAATCTAAATTTCTCATTCTTTATGGCTGAGTAATATTCCATTTTCTAGAAAAACCACAACTTCTTTATCCAGTTTCCAACAGATGGGCAAATAGGCTGTTTCCAAGATTTAGCTATTACAAACTGTGCCATTATAAACACGGGTGCGCATACTTCTCTGTGATATGATTCTTTTAGTTCTTTTGGAAAGACACCCAGCAGAGGGATGGCTGGGTCAAATGGAATCTCCAGTCCAAGCTCTTTGAGGTATCTCCATCAAATAATATCTTAATTCACATTTCTTTTATTTTGAGAAAATAACACCTTTCCTTTTTTAAATTTAATTTTAAAAATTAATAATTAAAAAAATTGAGTAACAATCACATTTATCACAGGGAATTTGTACTTGTACATAATATGTCTTAATTATTTTTTCCCTTCCATATAAGCACTATTTGCATTTCTTTTTCTATGAACCAAATATTTATACATTGTTCCATTTTGCTACTTATTTGTAGATCTTTATATACAGAGATAATATCTTTATTTGAGATGTGCATCAGAATGGGTTTTAAGTAGCTTTCAGAATGTATAAAAAGAAGCTCAACTATAAATATATTCCAAGGGGTATAGAAACATACCAAAAAGGTAGAAATAAGTAGAAGGGATTAGAATAACTAGGAAAGAGAGAGGAAAGGCAAAAGATCCTTGAGAGTTGAAAATTCTATTTTCTATAGAATAGGAAATAAGAACATGTGTAAGTATAAATATATCCCTGCGTGCAACAAATCAAATTTGCTAGCAATCTGTTTCTTGCTCAGTAACTGTCTTGGGCAAGTAGCACTCATCAGTGTGGAGACTCAAGGACAGACAGTCAACCCCTGAGATCTACCTGTATTCATTTATGGAAAGAAAAGAAAGTCTGGAGCAGATACAACCACTTCTTAAAAGCACTGGCTTTGAAAGGTCCACAGCTCCTCCATTGATATTCCATTAGTCAGAAGTACTCACGAGTCATAGGGATTGGGGCATCAAAGCCTGGCTGGGTGGCCACTTCCTAGCCACAACTCTATTACTATGAAAGATGGAAACAATTTCTTCTGGACCACCAGCCACTTTAAATATGATTAATAAGAGACACAAAGCAACAAGTAGGATTCCCAAGACTCAGATAAATGGGGACAAAAGGGATGGATCATAAGCAGAATCCCTTACCTAGCATACCACATCTGAATTGGAGTCCAGTGGTCACACTCTTGTAAGCCTGTCCTGCAGCTCAAATGAGGGGTGGAACTGCCTGTTGTGTTTCCTGTTATCTGCTCAGTGTCTAGAACAGCACCTGGCAACTATCAGGTGCCCAGTGAATATCTGCTGAATGAACAGTTTTACACCAAGAGGAACAGAAGGAGTGTTCTGACTGTGAGGGTCAGAGGGCCATCACGGGCATTCAAGCCTTGCCTTGGCTCTCTGAGCCCCTCCCTAGTCTCAGTTCTAGGAACTTCCTGCTTGATTTGAAGGATTTCAAGGCATCAGAGCTCTGGCTCTGTAGTTCTAAGGAAGCTCAAAGTAATTTGTTATCAGCCCTCATGCTCATAAGGACTCCTTGTTTTTTTTCTCTCAGCTTTTAGTATGAGCAAAAAACAATTATGATTTTAAAAATCATTATCTATGTATTCATTGACTCTTCCCAAAGTCCAGCTCTTCTCCCTACCCTTAGCCCTGAAAGGATATAAGGCCTAAACAGTCTGGGAGATTGGGAAGTTCTTATTCCTATTCCTTCCTCAAATACAGTGGACCCTCAAGTTACAACCAGTCTGACATCCGAACAACTTGGTTAATTAGGTCAAGGGAAGATTCATCTGCCTCTTCTTATTTATAGTGTGTATCCAGGTAAACATCCAGATCTCAGCTGTACTGACTTAGTTACAACCAGCCCTCAGGAACCTATCAAGTTCCTAAGTCAAGGGTTCGCTGTACTTTGGTCCCGCTAAGCAGCATCATAAATCAAGCTGTGCTGTAAGCAGCAGTGAGTTAAGTCTGATCCACTCATACATACTCCAGCCTCACTGCTTTGCTTGTGGACTCAGACTCATGGCACTACAGGGCTCCACTAGCTACAGGCCCCACCCCTACTGGGACAGTTGCAGCAGACAGCACCTCTGTCACACAGGAGATCCACCTTGGAATTTTTTATTCATTAATTTAAAATGGTACATTTTATATAGAGGAAGTCATTCAAGCTGTCTGCAGCAAAACAAAGCAAGCCCAGGCAGAGCTTGTTATAGCCAAATCATCATAGGTGTTGATGATGTTGGGGTTCTGTGGAGGGGTGGAGGAGGAGGGGATGAGAGAGAGAGAGAGGAGAGAGGAGAGAGGAGAGAGACCCAGAGACGCTAGGCTTCTGTCTTGGCTCACTGGCCTGCATTTGGGGCACATGATGGTCTGGGAGTGATGCTGACCACCTGCCGGCCAGGAGGGATGGCCATCAGAAAGCGGGGAAGGGGCAGTGGGATTTCAAAGCACATGGCATGTCCATATATATTTTATACTTTACCTCCCAAATCAACCTAAGAGCCCCTCTGGTCCCTCCCCATGTGAAGAATTGAATCTAGTGCTATGAACAGCTCTAGGAAATACAGAAACAAATAGAGGGCCCAATCCTTTCTTACATTCCCTTTGAGTCAGATGACTCCACAGTATTCCCTTTGGAAATGATACCATGACGCACTGACCCTAGACCCTGTGACCGCTCCTCAGAGGCTTAGGTGAAACTCCACTGTCATCTCATAGAAATATTTCTGCACTAGACATGAGGGGCTTTCCACTGAGAGAGGTAAATGGATGCTACAACAAACCTATGTCATTTCTGGTCAGGTTTTTCCAACGAAGGAGAAGGCTCAAACTTGGAAGAAAAAAAGTTCTGATTTCAGACAATCTTGGGTTGACTGGAATCATGAATTTAAAACAATGGCCCTTATTTCCTTTCCTATGTCATTTTCTATGACCTTTCTGTCTTTCCTTCCTCAGACTCCTCCTTCTCTCCAATCTTTAATTCACTTGCCCCTTAAGCATGGGCATGTTCTGTCAGATGATAATAGGTTTTATTTCAATCAACAATCACCTCATTTCCCATATTAAACAAAGAAGTCAACAAACAAAGACTTTATGATCGAGTCATTTGGCAAGAATTTTGGATAACAATTTTTTAAAAAGAATTAATTGTATTGGTACAATTTAAATATACACAACAATCACATTTATCAAAAGAAATTTGTACCTTTGAATATCTTGATTTTTCTCCCAATCCTCTCCCTTCAACCCTCTTACAAAATTTTTATTTCCACTTTTTCTTTTCTCATTTTTTACCCTTTTCCTTCCTTCCCCCTTTTCCCTTTCAGTTTCCCTTTCCTTTTGAACAGTTTCTTCCTATTTCATTTTATCTATTATACATTTTTGTCTTCATTTACCCTTTTAGTTTCTTACACTAGAGAGGCAATGCGATATTCATACGTGTTCATTTTATTTCTCTTAAGAGTATGGTCTCAAGTTGCATCCATTTAACTATAAATGTCTCAAATTAATCTTTCTTTATGGCTGAGTAGTACTCTATTGTACAGAAAAACTACATCTTTTAAACCAAAGAATGGATAACAAGTTTTTTTTATCACACTTATTTTAAAAAACCTTCAATATCATAAAATGCCTTCGAAATTTACAAAAAAGGAAATGTGGTTGAGCATGGACAACCACGGACAGCTTTGACAACAATGTCCCTCTCTCAATCATCCTTGGCCTGAGTCCCCTATACTTGGTTCCTCTTTGTCCCTTCCCATCTCTTTGACTTCCGGCTTCTTCCGTGAGAGCCTGGGGAGAATTAGTGGGGACCTCTCAGAATCTCTGTAGTACTACTGAAGATGGATCCTTAAGTTTATTTAAAAAATCTCATATTTTAGGGGTCATTTTCTACTAATATGATCAACTGATTATGATTAATTTCTGTATAATTAGGTATAAATTCCTTATTAAAATATAAGCCAATTTGTATCCCCTTAGATTTTACATTTTCTGTAGACAAATGACTGAATCATTTGAAAAAAAATATGTTTCATTTCATTAAGCAATTCATCACCAGATTTAAGGGGAAACAAGAAGCTTTTGTACGGATTCTAGTTAGAAATATAAATTTATTCAATTTTTTTAACTGATATATTTAAATCAACAATACCAGTGCTGCTGGGTGTGGTGGCACACGCCCATAATCCCAGCACTCAGGAGGCTGAGGCAGGTGGATCGCTGTGAGTTCGAGACTACATAGTGAGTTCCAGGTCAGTCTCAACTACATAGTGAGACCCTGTTAAAAAAAACAAACCAAAACCAAAACCAAACAATACCAGTGCATATTATCAATTAGATGGTTCATAGGCTTTGAATTCTATGTGAGAAACACTGATACACACGTACAGACACACAGAGGCACACACACAAACACACACACATACACACAGTCCAGTGAAACTTTTCATGAACTTAAGCAAATTGACAAGGGGTGTGGAAAACAGAATGTGTTTCTGGTTTTCTCTTTGAATATAGTAATGTCTACCAAAATAACATATCTAGACCATTATAGAAATTCTGAAAACAGAATTTTCACCATGACCTAAATTGTGGCTGAGGGTTTCAAGGTGGCAAAAAATCGGAGCTGTCAGATATTGAAAGCTCCAGCCTCAGAGGATGCATGTTTCACTTCTGCTGTGTTTCCCTACTCAACACAAACCTCCAGGGTTGAGAATGGCAAATCACACTGCAACGGGTCAGGAGGAATTGTTCTGGCTACACTTGTAAACAACCTAAATGTAAGTCAAGCATATGAAACTCGTAAGGGCTTTTGACAGGTACGATCTCCTGGAGAAACTGCACCAGCGACATGCCGGTGGTGAGCAGGGGCAGAGTGCTGTGTCCTTCTTGCTTTCTTTATCTGGGTACCAGAAATCCCCGTAAACCTCTATCAGTCCAAAATGGCCTCAGTGACAGCCCAGTGGTGATTTAATTTTAATTTCTACTAAAATCGAGCATTTTTTGTCATGTTCATTGGTCTCTTAAATTTCTTTCATTGGTACTAACTGTATGTTTGTATCCTCTGTCATCATTCAAATTAAGGACCTTAAGAAGGTTATTTAAATTGGATTGGGCATCCTGTCTATCAACTTGAAAGAGGTTTTTACGTAAAAGTTAATTCTTTACCACATATGCTGCAGACTTTCTTTTTCCGATGGGTATCTTTTGCTGTTTCTGATATATCCACCTGTATCTTTTCATGCCAACATCTCTGCCACTGTACACCATCTCCCCCAGGCACAGCCTCAGGGCTCCTTTCTGGCTGACCAGCACCCTGAAGAGGATCTAAAATGCTAGCTCAGGAAACTCAGGGGAGTAAGCCAGTGACTCTGCTCACTGGGGCTACGTTGAGTCAAATTTCTCTCCAGTCGTGTTGGAGACTTTCACACTTCAGACTGGGTAAATGGCTTGACAAATGACTCTTGGAAGAACAGGCTTAGGGCATTCATTGGAGGATCACAGCCAAAGAAATTTGTTATTACCTTGTGGGGAATCAAGGTAAGCTTGTGGGACAAACCCCAAATTAACCCTGAGAGTCCTCTGGCCATGGAATGACACTTGCTATTTTATCTATACTGGTAGACCTGAACCTGCAAGGAACTGGCTTACCCTTCCCAGGTTCAAATCCCAGTCTAGGCCCTCGGTATAACCACTGGCCTCCAGAGAAGTTGGCCTCTTAGCACTTTTCCAGGTTTGAAGTGAGCTGAGCAGTGGCTTGAAGGGCCTGCAAGTTCTGAACCATGATTCAAGTCTGTGTGATGTATTTTTCATGGTACAGCTGTAGTCCCCAGTTAGTCAACCAAACACTCACCTAAGGATTGTTGTGAAAGCATTTTTCTGATACAATTAAACTCCATAATCAGTTGACTATAAGAAAGGAACTGTCTTGGAGAATTTGGGGGTCCTGATTGTAGTCACTAGAAGACTTTCAAAGGTGAGCCAAAGTTTCAGAGAGAGAGAGAGAGAGAGACCCTTGAACCACAGCTCCAGTCTATCCTTTCCATACTCTTCCTCCCTGCTGCCTGATGGATTTTGGATTTTCTTAGCCCACTCACAACTGCATGAGCCAATTCCCATAAAGCACAGCTGCTTACACAGGAATAGGTGTCCCCACAGCTTCTCTGGTGGAAGAATGACCCCGATGATGTAGTGTCTCTGTCTGTCTCTTTGGAACATGGTCTGCAGCCCCTGACGTCCCTCCAGTGGCCAGGTTAGTTGTTCCTTCACTCAGGGACCTCATAGATCTGGATTTTACATTTTGTCCCAGGACAGTTCAGCAGAGAGGAAGAATAGCAAGGAGAGAGACATGTAGCTAACCACAAACCTCCTGACGGCCCAGAGAAGCGGTGGGAAGAGGACTGACAGGCCTACCTCCATATAATTTGACAGTGCCTCACATGACAGGCACACCCAAGAGCTAGGAGTTAAATTCACCAGAGAACAGAACCTACACCAAAGCATTCCAGTGCACATCCTCCCTACCCCACATGTTTTGTTTTTAAACCTGGGCTGAGCCTCATCCCACATAAACTCCTGGCTCAGTACCTCTCTGGGCCTCTGCCAAACCACACCCCATGTCCCTCCAAAATGTGATTTAATGCTCCAGTGTGCCAAGCTGTGCCCATCTGGCTTGTTTTGTAGGCTCCAGACTTCCTAGAAACCCATATCTCTTGCGTGTTCTGCAGACAGGCATGGATGCCCGGTACATCTGGAACGTTTGGGCCTTGGGTTGTAAATTTCCCTTTTGGGATCTGGAAGCAGCTCCCACCTTTGGGATTGGAGCAAGCAAGGCCACCCAGTCCTCTCAAACACCAATATGCCAGGAGGTAGGCAGTGTTAGGTTAGAGCTTCCTCTCCAGCTGCACTTTGGAATCACATTTGGCACCGTAACAGGCGATCTTGTTGGCTTCACCCTCTGGGTCTCCGTGGACCCTGAGCTGCTCTGGCTGCAGCTCCATCACCTGCTGGGACTTCTCCCACTGAGGCCGCTCTGGTTTGCTTCCAAGCAGGAGCCAGAGAGATTTTTCAGAATGTTATACCAATTATCGCTGGCCTCACCTGCCATCCCAGACACCCACATCAATTTCATCAAATAACCACTGGACACCCGGGGGTTGCCTACAGAGCTCAGGTGAGCAAGGAGGATGTGACCTTGGCCTCCTGAACTCCCCCCGGAAGGAGGCAGCAGGGAACAAAGACCACTAGATCATCACTAAATATCATGGCTTTTCCCATGGAGTTGGAATGAAGTTCAACCCCTAACCCGAGGCTTTTCTAATGTGGCCTAGGAGCCTTGGCTTTTCATGCCCTGTGTGGAGACCCCCACAATGACTCCTTTTGGCCCGGACACACTGAGGTCCTCCTCACTTGTTGGCTTCTTCTCCTATGCTCAGAACACCTAGAGGGACCCACTCACACACACCAGTCATTTTCCTGGTGAACTCCTTGTGCAGGTGAACCGCATGGCTCACCTTTCAGGAAGTTTTTTCCTGGGACCTGAAGGACAGGAAAGAAATGAGAAAGGCTGCCTCCAGCCCTTCTCTTGCAGCCTTCTTTCTGCCAGAATCACTCTGACCTACTCTGAGCCACTCATCCTCTAGCTTTGAGAGTACAGAAACATTTCAGACACCTTTGGGGATGGGGCAAGGGAGAGGGCCCAGTGGGAAAGAAGAGGAGGGAATGTTCTAGGTAAAAGGAAGAGAGCTTAGAAGCCGGTATGCCTGGGGGAGCTGCCATTTCTACCATCTACTTTGCTGCATTTACTGGATACCAACTGTGCACTGAATGAGCCACAGAAAGGCTCTGCCAAGATGGCGGGAATAGATTTCTGAACAAACCCCCGTCCCCATCTTAGGCAGGAACTAAGCTCATAGAGTGGATTTTGGAAGCTGAACTTTTGTTTTCTCCCTCAGGACTGTTAATTTTCTCTGATGCAAGGACAAAGAGTTGGTCACAGTGTAGCAGTTAGCATCCTCTACTGGATAGAATTTTATACCTATAGATACCTGGTGGGTTTGCAACACATATGTAACAAACACAACAGCACTCACAGCTGATGTGGGCCATTGGGACAGCCCTCTGGCCTGCAGGGCATGATGTGTGGTGGGGGTGATGCCTGAATCCCAACACTAGAGCAGAGCCCTTTCAGTCCCTCCTACCATGAATGGCCTAGTTGTCACATCTTTCCAATCTTCCCAGCAGAACCTGAGAACTTCAAGAGGAATCTATGCATGTGAGGGGCTTAAGCTTAAATGCCTTTATGGTTAAACCTACTTCTCCCTTCAATTTCCCTCTAGAATGTCACAGGGATTTTCAGGGAGCAGCAACAGTCTTAAACTTCAAAAGATGAACCTTGCTGTTCAAAGCTGTTCAACATTGGGTGCACAGGTGGTATGTAAGGTTTTGTGCATGACTCTTGGTCTTTCCTGCCTTCAGAGGAGGCAAAGGGGGCACAGTTCAAGCTGGTAGACTTTAAATTAGATGTCTGTGAACAGGAAGGTAGAGAAGGGAGAGGAACCTAGATATGGGTACACATTTTCCAAATTATCTGCAGTTTGCCATTCCCTCATCATCAAATGCCAGTTAGAGTTGCAGAGACCACTAAAAATATATTTTACTCTATTCAGACTTCCCTTTCTGAAAAGGCTCACTGTTAACAAGTTTCCTGAAATCTGTTGCATGATTTTGTTGTCTCCACTGATAAAACCCTCAATAGTGTGTTTCCCAGATGGCAGACAGAGACTTTGGCACCTGTGCTACACACCAGATAAAGCTTTCTTTCTGATCAGATATATGGACTGTGCTCTAAAATGCTTGTCACCCTACACTGATGAGCAGGTCATCTATCATTAGAGACAGGAGACTGAATGAAAATACATGAAGTTCTTTGAGTTTTCAGGACAGCAGATGGACCAACACCAGCCCTACTACTGTGGCTGGAAGGAGGGGTGAGGTATTAAAGCAAGCAAGTATTAAATGTTCGTTCTCTTCTTGAGGATTTTATTATAATACAGACGGTCCTTGTTTTACAATGGTTAGATTTATGATTTTCCAACTCTATGATGGTACAAAAGTGATCCTCATTCAGGATAAAACATATTTTGAGTTTTTAATTTTGATCTTTCCACAGGGTGGCCATATTCTCTCTGGAGCTGAGCTCAGGTGAACAAGGGGGGAAATAACTGATATTTTACAGTGCACTGTGTTGCTAGGTTAGGATGCTTGGTAGGTTCAGTGTATTAAATGGACTTTCAACTTATATATCTTCACTTTACAATGGCTTTATTCAGTTAAATCCTATCATAGGTTGAGAAGCAACTATGTTTAGATAAGTTTGAGCCCTGGAGCCAGAAGCTTTTTTATGCCATCAGAGGTAGTTCTCGTGTTTCTGCAGTTCCCTTCCAGAACTCCTTTCCTTTACTACTTCTGCCCTACCTGCTTGTCCCTTGGCTCTAACTCTACATGTACGGGAACAGAGCAGCTCAAGTGGGAAGACAGCTCTTGCATGCTATGGTTTAACAGAACTGGCCTCTGCATTAGAAAATAGTCACATAGGAAGACCAGCTGAAGACTAAGAAGAATAAGACCAAGACTACACCTCCAGGGTTTGCTCACAGGACATTAACGATCTTCAGACAATAGCTATTCTCGAGCTCTGAGTTTCAGGACAGTCAGGAAACCTTCAAAACTCAGAAGGTCAAGCTCATGGCCCAGAGTTAGGAATGTTATGGCTCTGTGCCTCTTATGGGAATAAATAAAGAAGTCCTTTCTAAGGTGAGTAGCACTTCAAGTTACTCAAGCAGGAGATACAGCTCTCCACCTTGAACAGAGTCCGGGGGAACAGAAACGGTGCCAATAGTGATTAGTAAGGGTTACCGCCAACCAAAAAAAAAAAAGAGCACAAGAACCACTACATTTAAACAACAGAATATAAATTCTGGGTGCCAAATCCTGGCCCACATAGCTTCCTCCCCTGACACATACTCTAGAAATAGTCTCATCTTATGCCCTCAGGGACTATCCAGACTGGAGCTCTGCTCCACACAACCATGGAATTAGAACAAATCCTCCCACATCTATTTTCTCAGTCACCAAAGCAACTTTCTTGGTCACTAAGGGAAGAAAAGTTAAAAACAACCCCTACCATCATTATACATCAGAAATAGGTGTCCTGGATATTTTACTTGTCTTTTCAAAAAAGTCTTTGAAAACTTCTCACTACTCAGGAAAAGTAATCGTGCTGAATTGTGGTGAAGCAAGAAACATTTGGCTTTGAAAACTTCTCACTATTCAGGAAAAGTAATCGTGCTGAATTGTGGTGAAGCAAGAAACATTTGGCTTCCCAAAGGAACGGCATTATACTGCTTGGACAGCCTGTGGCTACAGCTGCTTCTTCCAGAGAAGAGTACATATTCTCACAAGTCACTGGTGAGGGTTTGGGACAAACTTTACCATGCGGTGTAAATTCCCAGAGAGCAGAAACCATGTAGACTAATTCCCAGGTCATGTTGTCTAGGGCCCAGCAATTGGCAGAGACAATAAATTAGGGTGCCTAGTGTTGTCACGTTGTGGTGGGAATTGGGGCCAAGCCTAATTTCTATTGCAGATCAGTCTTGGAGTAAAATGACAGCTGATGAATGTTAGGTCCAGATTTCAGATGAATCAAAAGCTCAAGGTGTCTATTAGTAAGCATTTCCTTCCCAGCTCCAAGCCCAGTTTTTCCTGCTCTGTTCCCAGGATGCCAGGGTTGGAACCTGCAAATCTTCATTCTGCTCTGCCAGCTGCTCTCTGAAGACTTTGCCAAGACAGGGTACTAGAGAATATTTGTCCTGGTTTGTTTTCTGTTCCTGTGAGCATCAGCCCAGCAACACTTCCTGTCCATTTCCTTTTCCTGAGATGATTTCCTGTTCTTGTCAGCATCGTATCAGCCTCACTTTTTCCTCCCCAAGTTGGCTGCAACAGGAAAAGCAGCCAGGAAAGCAGGAAAGCAGCTGGATCCAGGTTGTGGTTTTCTCAGCATTTCCCAACAGCCTTCACTGATCTTCAGTGATGTAGCAATCCCTCCTTTGAGGCTGGGGTCACAGGCCCACGGGACCCTATTCCACCTCATGAGACGCCAGTGCTGGTGGCTGGTGTTCCCTCCTCTCTGAGGTCTGGTTTTAGCATAATAGTTTTCCCCCCATGCATCCAAAGCTTAGTGATTCAGACCTTCTCATGTTCCCCTAGCTTTCACGGAGGAAGCGGCTTCTGGTAGTCACTGTCTTTGTGACATCTTTTCAACTTTTTCCTTTTTAGCTAACTGTAATTACTTTAAATTCTTTTTTATGAAAGGAGTTGTTATTTCTCCCCAGGACTGACATATCCAGCATTTTCTTTTAATCCAGGTGTGGCACGAGGTCTGGAGTTAACATAAGACATTGGTCGCAATTGGCTCTGTCACTTGGGTCAGTCACAACCTCCTTCAAGCTGTTTCACCTTTAGTAGACCAACAGATGGTTTTATGTCAGAGATTGTGAACGATGTCCATGTAGGGCAAGGTGAAGCCTACAGATGTGACAAGTGTGGCCTAGTGCCTGTAAGTACATTTTCGTAGTATAAACTGACTTCCCTCTGGTGGGCCCCGTCTTCTCTTTTTACATTTGTACTCTGAACAACACAGACTGCCCAGAGGTATGGAAAGTACCATAAGATTGTAACCCTGGGGTTAATGCGGGCACTGTTTGCTCCTCAACTGCAGTGGTAGCTGTTTTACTGTGAGGTTTGCTGAAAGAGTTGGAGATGAGCAGAGAGGATGGGATAACTGGTGTGGCAACTGGTGGGAGAATAATTGCAATTTTCTGGGGAAACTAACAGGTCACCCTTCCTGATGTTGAGAAAGATTTTGAGCAAGAGCAGCTGTGAGTGTCCCCAGCATCTAAGGGAAGGTACATGAGCTTAGCTGATTAGGAAACATGGGGGCCACCACAGGCCACCTTCCAGCCTCCTGCTCCTGCCCATCTGACATCTGTCCTGGCCTCTGGAGCAGACATAGCCAGTGGTGTTCTGTCCACTCTTGGTGATGCTGTCATTGGTGGGACCAACAATGACTTTTCCTGCTTGCATCAAGTAGAAAAGTTAGTTCACTAAATGGTCTGGTGAGTGAATGTGTAAACACAATGGACCCTTTGACCGACAGAACTGAATTTATAGAACTGCTCCATTCTGAGATGTTTTGGAGACCCAGGCAAGGGTGCAGGCCTATGAGCCATGTGATCAGCAGAAATGGACACACTTCACTGAACCACATTCTCTGAGTGGCTAAGAGGCTCTTTGTGTTTATCCCAGCAGAGCCTTCTCTCTAACCTTAAAATGAGTTGAGCAATGTGTTTCTGAAGACCCTACATGTGCACATCACATTCATTTATAGGCCTTGCTATATAAGCAAAATATAAAGCAATCTTTCAGTTTAGTGTGGGGAGATGGTGGTGGTGATGATGATGATGATGATGATGATGATGGTGATGATGATGATGATGATATTCAGGCCCACAAGGTATCAGGGCCAGGTGATTTGGTACCAGGGGAATCTGGACTTATAGAAGATTCTGTAGAGACTAAGTCCTGCAAGGAGCCCACAACCCAAACAGAGCTCCATGACCACTGCGTCTGCATGGGGACACTTATTTTTCTGCTCATACAGCAAAGACTGGGTAGGAGCCCAACATATACCTTTTACACGGTTGCTGGTTACCACAGTACACAAGTTAGACACCTGAAGCTGGACATCACAGGGTCTGGAAGACTAGGCTTGTCAATGGCAACAGTTTCTGAAACTTAGGAAGTCCAAACACAACCGAGGTCCAAGTATAGGAGCCCAACAGTCAACTTGCAAACAGCGCAGGATAGCATCTGAGCCCCGTTCCCCTACCGATGTGATTAGTAAGATCCATTCTCTGGACTGCATGTGATTGTAAAGCATGAGGCCTGCTTGTTGCACACTTCCACCTGTTTATCCCAGGGACACACTTCTGAAATGGTGGTGGTCAGTGGAAAACACGGTCACCGCCATAGAAATGCAACCACCACCTCTTGGGGGGCCTTTATATGGCCCTACCTCCCTCTCTAGCCCCTCACATCCTGCCAGTCTCTTCAAGTGATAGCCACAATAGGTGATCTTGGCAGTACCAGGTCTTTCCTCCATGTGGGAATTCTACCTGCTAGCCTAGCACTCACCTTTCAGGCTTCAGATTTGATGGAACCTGCCAGGGAAGCTCCAGCCTTCCAATAAGGTTTTCTCTAGCACAAGGTCTCCTAGCACCTTCAGCTTTCCTGCCAGATAATGATCACAAGTTGCAGTCATCTGATTGCTCTGTTATTGACCAGGCTGAGTGCAGTGTGAGCTCCTAACAGAGGACCTGTAGCATCCTGCATATCACTATGTGCCTGCTACTTGGCCCTGTGCCAGGACATGGAAAATACACATCTCACACAAAGGAAGCAAATGACTGGTTGGTGACTGTTGAGTACTACAGATGAGCATTCAGCTCCTAACAGCAAGGACTAAGGAGAATACAGCCAGGCCTCTTGCCAACCATTCTCTGCCACACTCTCTTTCAGTGAGAGATGTGACAACAAGTAGTGGGAATAGAGCCACAACAATGGCCAGAATCTGGCCTGACCCTTTACGTTACAGCAGGAGAAGGCAGGGGAGGTGGCTGTGACACGAATTAATATGGGTGACTTCAAGTGGGGCAAGAGTCATCCACACTTAATGAACTTTCTAAGGCCAACTTCAAATACTTCACTCACCTCCCTGTGCTTGTCCTTCTCTGTCCCTAACTCTGCATTAACAAGGTGGGGACCTTGATGGTGACCAGGCCTGTGGTGTGTGGCTGGGGCCACCTTGCTGGCACCAGAGTTTTTCTATTGGAGCTACTTATGTGCTCCATATGTCCAACATTGAGCTCTGGATGGATGAGGTGCCCCAAGAATACTTTATGCCCCAAGCCACCCAGGGTGAGCTGTGCTCTTAGACTGGGACACGAGTATCACAAGGAACTAAAAATGCTTTGAAAATTTAAATGTGACCTTCCACATTCACTTGTAAATGCTAAATAGCCAAGATTTTAATTACTTTGCAACAGAAGTCTTGTACCCTCTATGGATCACTTCTTATTATATTCAATGACACCATGCATAAGACACAAGCCAAATCTTAGGACAGCAGACCACCCTGTCTTTTTCCATGGATTCTAGCTTCTGTTTTTAGAAGAGCCAACAAGAGTTTAGACATCAACCAAAGTGCAAATTAAAAAACAACAAAGAAACTCTTAATCACCATAAACTAGTATGCTTGTTCACTAGGATTCTTCCCTCTAAAGAGTACTGGCAGCTTAGAAGAGCAGCTGCAGCCCACTTTTCTCATCCTGTCCCCCGCCTCCCCGCCTTTCTGCAGCAAGGCTAAGGGATGATGGAGTTTCGGTAATTGTAAACCTCAGGCTGTTTCTCAGCGCGCCGCTCTCAGGCACAACTATAAGTGCTATTGGAAAAACAAACACTGCTGCAAATATTAACTGTGCATAAGGATTCCTTATAGGTTGAGGGAAAAATTCTGCTTTCATATGGTTGGGGTCATTCAACTGTACGTTTCACATATGTATTTTCCAGATTTAAAAGACAGAGAAAGACTTCTCTCTTTCCAGTGGCCTGCTTTAATGTTACCAAAGAGTCTTAGAAGAGGACTCTGGGGGGCTTTTTGCATTTTCTTTTATGCATTTTCTTTTCTGTATCTGGTGCACTTTCCTCTATCCATGCTTGATGAGAGAGAGCAAGCCGGTACGTCTTTCTGAAAACACACCCACTTGCCTCTCTGAACAGGGAAGGCACTGTTTTCCATTAATGGAGAAGGTGCAAAACCAAGGTGATGAACCTCAAATTTCCACAGAACTATCTGGAGAGATAATTCTTAGAAGGAATCCCTCGTTATTCCATTCATAAATAGATACAAAATGAGCACAGTCAAGGAAAGTGTATTTGGTATATACTTTATAGGGGACAGAGGAGAGCTGAGCCTTCTGGGGACACATGGACAGCCTTGGGAGCTATACCAAAGCTTGCAGCAGAGTCTCGAGCTGAAGTGCAGGGCAGGGATTCCTGCAGGCAAACAGGATGAACTCACAGCCTGGAATCCCAATTCAGCCAACTGCCTATCAGTCCATCCCACCATTTTAAACTGTAGCAGGGTTCTGCTGTGCTGCTGAGCAATCATTCTTAAGGTAACAACCCGGCCACCCCTCTAACTCCTGGGGGCAGCGCTGTAGGAGCAATCTCAAGTAGGATGCACTGGAGATTTGTAGTGGGGCTCTATCTAGTGAATTTTCATCAGCAAAAGCAGCCAGCCTCAAGACAGACAAGGAAACAAGACAACAGCCAACCTGTCTTTTTGCATGTGGAAGGCACCTGTCATTAAAGGAGGGTGCACTTGCACACACACACCCCTAGACAATACTTTAAACATCTGTACAGGAGATTGCATTTGAAAACCTGCTAGCACTGCTAGAAGCTGGAGTATCTGAGCATTATTGCCAGGCTTAAACTGCTATGTGCATGTCTCTAAGGGGATGAGTCTCACCTCCTGGCAGTCTCAGAACATGAGTCATAAGGAGCTACCATCACAATGGAACACTCCATCTCACGTGGCCCACTGAGGGAACAGGGCCACCCAGAACATCAAACAGTGCCCCCAAGTGCTAAGGCTGGGAACTACAGCTGTACAGTGGCCCCTTGGAGCAGGCCTTCCCTTTGGGCATGTGTGTTCTGCCAGACTGGGGTGCATGTGCCATCTAGAGCTCTTAATGGTTAGGTCTAAGGCCCAATTGTCCTGAACTTGCTCTTATTTGCATGAAAATAACAACTTGCATCAAAATGTGAATTGAAATAAACTTGGGACCAGGCATTTTGTTCACATACCTTCAAAGCATCTGTACAGTACAGACCCGAGATCCCTACATGTCAGTCATTTGTGAGCCACAAAGACTTGGTTACTCCCTATTAACTGCTTAAATTAATCAAAGGGATGAATATAAATCTAATTCAGAACAGGACCAAAGGTTACTAAATTACTTGTGATTTTAAACAAGATCGGTATACCACATGTTTATTTAATAAGTAAGACATAGGAAGGAATGCTAAAACTAGTTAGCATTCTGTTTAAGGTCCTTATATTTGTCCAGCTGAATACAAAAGTATAAGTTGATGGCTTATGTATGAGTCAGCTTTACTGTTGCTGGGACAAAACACATAACACTCACAATTGAGACAAGTTTAATTTGGCTTGTGGTTTCAGGGAATTCAGTCCATGGTCAGCTGGCTTCAAGGTAGGAACATTATGGTGGAACCACATGGGGGAAGTACACAGTGCCTGGAAAGCAGAGCACAGGGGAAGAGAGCCTGAAAAGAAGGGGTCAGGGGCCAGCTAGAGTAATCAGTCGAACTCCCATGAGTGACCCAGACCCAGAGATACTCAGAAGGGTGCTTTAATCTCCTATGTGTCTTTCAAGCCAACTTGCCAAGTTGACAATCAAGATTAACCATCACAGTTTTTCAATCCAAATTGCCTGAGGTGCTCAGCTTAGTATTATTTTGGTATTTGAGGCACTTGAAAGTATAGTAATAACACACTTGCTAACTTTCTTTTACTCCTTTAAATTAGTGCAAATCAATGAAGTTTTAATGTTGTCATCATAGCTATAACCTATCTTATCTTTATTCTGGAAAAGAATTCCACTATTGGTTTAGATGTGACTTAATCATTTGCTTTTCAACTGTTTTTCACATGTTAATTGGGTTCAGCTACCTGTAAGCTGGGCCAGAAGTACACATTTCACAGGTACAAAAGAAGAATATTACAGTCCCACTGACAAAATTTATTCCTCCTCTGTCACATGGCCAGCATGGACCTAGGGGTCATCCAGAGCAATGGCTTCATTTCAGGTGGGGAGACCAAAGCCTACAGAGGTAAAATGACTCGTTTATGTCACAGATGGCTGTCACCAGAGCCAGCTAGCCCCTGAAGTTCAAACTTAACTGTAATTACTTAAGATGAGGATTGGAGTAGAAGGTTCTTTTGATTATACTTTTTATACATTCAGTTCCATTTTTTCTTGCCCAGTGTCCTGTGGGATTTTAACCTAATGCTTGCTATGAGCCCAGTCTCTCATATACATCCAAAAGGGCAGAGACAGGTCATCTGGCCAGTGAGAAAAACATTTACTCAGTAAATGAGGGACAGTCTTTAGCGCTTGGACTCCTTTTAAACAAACAACTCATGGTTAACTATTATCTCCCCAGCTTTTATCCTCTAATCTGTAGTTTTAAATTCTTAGTAGTAATTATTCTTCCACTTATGTCTGTAATCACCAAGTGCAGACAGAAGCAAGTCTTTTCACAGAGGAAAAAAGTCCTCATTTTTTTCATGGTAAACTATGATATTCAGTTAGTGCAATAATAATTTCCTCCTTATAGAGATAATTGCATCTTTAAACCCATTTGAGGTTGGAGAGCTCTGTTGTGCAGGCATGTTCTGAAAGACTGAACCAAGCATGTTCTGATAGCCATTCATTTGTGACTTCATTCATTATTGTAACTGCATCTTCTGCAACACAAATGCTAAATTATACATTATGTATCTTTCCAAGCACAGCAGATCAATTTTTAAACAGACCAGGAGGAGTGATCAGGTTACAAACTTAAACTGAGCTACAGGGTACATTCTACCATTTCATGTAATATCGATAGCAGCTCAATTTAAATTTCAAAAAAAGCAAATATGTTTAATAAATTTGGTGTGAATGATTATATAGTTCCATACTACTACTGTACAAGAGTGTGCACATATACAAATCTATAGGTAGAATTACATACATTTCAATATATATCATATATATTTTTACTCACATTTTTCTTAATAAAACAAAGCAGCTTGACTGTACATAGATGTGATGTTACATTAAGTCCTGAGTAATTTAAGGGATTATTAATAAACAACTGTAAATTCTACTTTTTTAGTTTAAGATCCAGTAGATTCTGTAACAAAAATGTAAAGAAAAAATGCTTAAAAATATGCATCTGGTTTTGCGCTTGTTTTGTGCTTAGCAGAAAAAGCTTAAGAATGCACAGCAGCCTCTGAGATTTGGGAATATGTATTCAAGGCTGTACAATGACCTACATGTAGAGATGTCATCTACATCCAATCTGTCAGGCATGGAAGACTATCCTCATGACTGGACCAAAAATCCCTTTTGCAGAATATGAAATTCTGTGTAAACATCAGTGTTTCAGTGTTATATAAAAGTTCTGATACAAACAAGAAGAAAAAACCATAATGAAATAATTTAAAATGCTTTTCTTGGAATATAGCCAGCCATATGGAAGGGCTATAAAAAAAAAGTCTATTTTGGTGAAGGAGGAAACCAGACAGAAGTCACTTAGGGGTGGTCTGGCCAGCTACTGGTTCTGCAGGCCCAGGTTGGCTGGCGTAGGGTTGGAGCTCAGCGGGCCCTGTCATCCTGTGTCTGGAGGGACTTGCTGTGTGACAGGAGGAAGCGCAATGGAAAGCCACATTCACCTACAGTGTGGTACAGCCCACCTGCTGGGGCACCGCTGGACTCAGGCACTGGGTACATGATGCGAGGGGTCCCGGCTGCCGCTCCTGCATCAGAGCTGCTTGCACTAGAAGGCACTGCGTCGATGGCTCCTGTTGCCCCAGCTCTACCCTGTCCCGTAGCTGCTGTAGTCAAAGACTCCTTTCTTGAAGAATGGTGAGAACTCACAGATGGTGTGTTTCGAAAGGGTCAGCCCCACTTTGCTAATGTGCAGGGGAGATGTCGCCGACTGCAGCATCACACTGAAAAAGTCCCTGAGGTATTTCTGAGGAGGAGACAAGAGTGGGGAACACGGTCAAGGTGTATTTCTGGGTAGAGTGGAGGAGAAAAAGTGTGGGGAAACAACTCACCACCCACCTGGATTTTACGAACAAGACCAGGGAGGTTACATTAGAGGAAGCCTGGTGCCACAGGAAGGTCCTCAAGCACCTCAGCACTGTAAGGCTAAAGGTGAGCACAGAGCCCTCAAATCCATCTCCACAGCAGAATCTCTTTGGCACAAGGCCTTGGTTCATGGCAAGCCCATGTCTACCACAAGGGACTGGTTTGCAGTAGTCACTAGTGTCACTAGTCCTGGTCTTAAAAAGTCATTTCTTCTCTGCTCAAATCACTCATTAAATAAAATGATGATTAAGAGAGAGAGAAAAAGTGCCCATTTGTTCTGTGCTAAACATGCCATTTATTGGCATTTTAAAATTGCACAGTCAGAGTCTGCTCTGTCTTAGAAAACAACAGCAAAGAAATGGGAGAGGGAAGATCAGCCCCACACATTGACAGATCATTTTGGAAATCCTATAATCATAGGCAAAAATAAGTTCTCTCTAGATGAACTGTACTGGATCCTTCCTTCCTCCTCCCCACAGGCACCTGTCACAGTGTTCTCTACCTGTGCCTTTGTGGCACTGGGAGGCAAACTGTGTGTAAGACTAGGCTCTGGGATGGAGGTGTGTGTGTAAAGTCATTCCTGGGAGCTGGAGGGATGCAGTAAAGGAAGGGAACACAGCAGTACAGTGAGACTATTTTAGGGCACTGAATCCCCTCCATGACAGAAAATGAAGCATAGGGAAGGGGTTAGACCAAAAACTCACTACTGTCTCAGTCCATTTAAAAAATATTAACCATTCCAGTACCAACTCAGAAATTAAACATAATAATTCTGAATTGTGACTAACAAAAAATTTTGTTTAACATGACCTACTGGCAGTGTTCCCCAATCAGAGGTGATTCTGCCCACAGGGGATCTTAGGCACTGTTTGGAGACATCTGTGACTGCCACACTCTGTGTGGAGAGTGAGTCCAGTGGGTGGAGGCTGTGCATGCTAACATCCCGCCACATACAGGGCAGCCCACAGGACAAGGAATTATCTGGCTTCAAATGTCAATCATGTCCATCTTAGAAACCTTCCCAAGAGAATAGAATCAGCTACCTTCTATCAACTGACAACCTCAAATGTCCCTCCAAACAAAGTCATCTGGCATAAGGAAAGTTCAATGACTTCTTTCCTTAAAAAGGTAGCAAGGATTACTATTAATAACAATTATATAACTTACAGTTTCTAAAGACCTAATATAAGTAAAACAGATGCACAATAAACACACTCTTTATTTTTTAGTGCTGAGGATTGATCCCAGGGCCACTCGCATGCCAGATAAATGCTCTAATGCTGAGCTACACTTTTAGGTTTTAAATTGGCCTTAAAGTGCGATTCTCTGAATGTATAATCTGATGAGTGTTAAACCATGTGGAACCACCACCAAACCAAGATGACACGTATTTGCATCACTTCCAGAAGTTTCCTAAGACACCCTACTTTACATGATCCTCAAATTCTGTCTACAATTACACAACGTAATCATTTCATGAGGATGCTGTTATTGAGAAAAGCTAGTAATCATAAGAAAAGAGAAAAGTGCTAAGCGTGGTTAACTCAGGCCTGCTTTCCTGGCTTAAGATCTCTAACTGGCTGATCTCCAGAAGCCTCTCTAGAAAGGATCCTGAAAGTGGAATCAGGTTCATGTAAGAAAGTATGAAAGCCAATTGCTGACAAAAGCAGATCTTAACCCTAGCACTTACTGGCCTCAGAGAGCCAAAAGGAGATTGCCATTTCAACACTCCTAGGGCAAGGAATCCTGAGGATGTCAGCTCCAGAAGTACCTGAATTCCATCATGCGGTTACCAGCAAACACTGTCACTGCACCTGAGCAGTCAAGTGCTTTATGAATCCACATTGGATTGTCTCTTGCAGAGTAGAGAAAGGGGATTTAGGATGAAGAAGATGAGAAGCTTGCCCACTTGTGCCTGGAGCTGTGACTCTTCCACAGCTGAGTGAAGGATGGAGACAGGTTCTGCACAGGTGTTGTTTCTGTGGCTCTTGGGTGGCTCCTGCTTCAGGAACCCTACAAGCAGCATTAATGTTCAGACTACTGTTTGCAACAAAATCACCTCAAGAAGAATTCTCATAAACTAGGAAGCTATTTAAATCTGGGAGCAGATGTTGATAAACATTTGTCATAGTTGGTTCACAAAGTAAGGGGCTTTTAAAGTGCCAATAAAGTCTGAAAAGTATAATGGGACATTAAAAGTATAAATAAAAGAGGAAATACTGGAGACACCTTCCTTGCCTAAGCACAGCCACTAAAAGAGAACTATAAATCAGTCGTAGAAAAGCTTTCTTCTTTAAAAAATACTCATTAGCATGCCTGGATGAAACCCCAGATAGAAATATCTAATTTGGCCACTTTTAAACATTGCAGAAGGATCGCCCCACCCTCACCCCAGCCTGCATCAAGCAGAAGGTGGAAGGTGGAGGTCTGGGACAGCTGTGCAGAAATCCCGTTCTTTCTCTGGCCTGCCTCAAGTCAACTCCCACCCCCTGCTCTCAGGCCTCCTGATTGTGCTAGTTCTTGGAAACACTCTACAAAGACACAGGTGGTCATAAAGGTCAACCTTTCTGAGCTCCAGAAGATAGAACAGAAGTGAACAACTGCAATAAAGGCACATCAGATCTCCATATTTGGTAATTTGGAGAAATCACCACCTTCCATCAGAACTTGGAATATCTTCAGAGAAAGGGCAGAGGGAACCTGTAGTAGAACCTTGCAGAGTTCAACCCTGCAGGAGGTCAGGGAGCTCAATTTGGGCCTTGCAGCCCAAACTCAGCCTGAATCTCAAGGGGCAGCCATCAGCTAGCTGAGACTAAAGGACTAAGTCCTGCACATGGCTGCAAACATTGTCTATTATGACAGCAGAGATATAGTCTGAAAGAGGCCCTTCAAATTCTTTTTCTTCTTTTATTTCCTCATTCTGCTCTGCAATTTCTTTCTTTTTTCTGTCTTCTTTTTCCAACTTAGTCTCTTGCTCCCCCATATTATTCTTCATCTCCCTTTCTGTTCCTGCCCTAACTTGGATTTCTTTGTTTATTGTTTTTCCTCTTTATTTTCTTTTCTTCTCTCATTTTCCTTCACTCAACGGTCAATAGTTTCAAAAGAAAGTGAGCCCCTATTACTGTTGTTATATTCTTGTCCTTATTCTTGCACTCTGTCTTTCCCTCTTGTCTTCAACAGTTTCCTAAAGTTTATGCAGTCATCCTGTGTCCTCTGGCTTCACTTGAAACCTTCTCCAATTCTTTTATCTATCTACTCCTCTCATCCTAACTCTGTCTAAGCCCCCATTCTAAAGGGTAAAGATGCAATATTGAAGAGTTTATTCACTGTAAACATATTTTGGGCTGCTGCTTGATTTTAATTCACATGGTTTAAAGGTGATAGATTAATGACTATCACAAATGGTCAATTTGTTAGCTGAGTTTGATTCTATTGTGTTGGTGATTGTATCAATTGGGCTAAAGGGTTGTGATTGATTTAATGAGTTGTCCTTTCTGACATTATGAAGCTGAGAATGTCTATGAGTCATTAGAGACTCAAAAGCTAAAGAGCATATCAGGAAGATTTAGGTAATAACCCAGGAATTAAAGCAAGGACAACCCAACAACAAAAATAAAATAGAGAAAACACTTAAGCAAGACACAAAGACAGACTTCTAGTTCACCAATGGCAAACTCTAGGGCAAATGAGGTTGAACAGTCTGACAGTGAACTACCAGGACACCCTGAACTCACAGCACTGGAAGCAATAAAACAGATCAATTGGGCTCTAGAAAAATTCAAAACAGAAATAATTTCCCAGATAATTACAGAGATGGTGAGCAGAAAGACATGATTAGAGACACTAGAACAAACTGACAAAAAAAAAAAAAGTGATCTCAGGACCATGATAGAAGCCATGAAGTTCCTGCATAAGAAAGAAATGGAAATGATGAATGTCTAACATAGGAAATAAATGGAATCCATGAAACAGATTCAGATATCCAGGAGATTAAAAACTCTATTGAAAGCTTTCACAGCAGGATAAATGAATGCGAAGATAGAATTTCAGATATAGAAGATAAGACTGAAGTCAGTGACTGTGAATAGAGAAGTCTCTTAAAAACAGTAGGGGATCATGAGAAATTGATCCACCAAATCCTAGATGATGCAAAGAAGAATAACGTAAGACTGATAGGAATACATGAAGTAGCAGGAGAAAATACAAATGACTTAAAAAGCTGTTCACAGAATTAATGACAGAAAACTTCCCAAACAGAGGAGAAGAATTTGACATACAGATAAGTGAGGCATATAGGACTCCAACTAGCCACGATCAAAAAAAAAAAAAAATCTACACCTAGACATATAATAATCAAGATCCCAGAAACCCAACAGAAGAACAAAATACTACAAGCAGTAAGAGAAAAGAAACAAAGCACATGCAAAGGAAGCCCATCAGAATCACAGCAGACTTTTCAACCCAAACCCTCAGGTCAAGGAGAGCCTGGAGTGAGGTATTTTAAGTCCTAAAAGAAAACCTCCAACCTAGACTTATGTATCCTGAAAAACTCTTTCAAAATAGATAGGGAAATAAGATACTTCCATGACAAAGAACACCTGAGAAACTTCACGAATACCAAACCAGCACTACAAGGAATTCTAAACAATATCCTACAAAAAGACAATGAAGGTCACAACACCATGAGGCCCAAAAGAACAAATCAAATAGGCAAGGCAAAAAACTAAAGGGAGAGGGGGAAAAAGTAAAAAGAGTCAACAAAAGGACAATAACATGACAATAATAAGTCAGTACATATCAGTTATAACCATCAATGTCAATGGCCTGAATTCGCCAATCAAGAGAAACAGACTAGCAGAATGGATTAAGAAGCAAAATCCA